AAATAAGAACAGATTTTTTTTTTTTTTTAATGATTTCAGAGGGAAACATGGCAGTGGGAGCCCTAGAGTGAGAGTGAATGGAAGCTTCAACCAAATATTATCTTGCATAATCCCTTTCATAACCAACCAACATTTCTTTGTCTAATGCACAAGAATATCATGAGATGTGGTGATCAAATGTCTTGTTGAAATCAAGGTAAGTTTGTTTTTCTATATCCCTACACCTATGTGACCTAAATATTTGCAGCCAACATGGGCTTTGGCCTCTTCATTATCACTGCCTTTCCTATGCATTTATAAGTAACATACAAGCATAAATTTAATAATTTTTAAGTGTGCACTACAATATTATTACCTATGTCACAGTGTTTTACAACAAATCTTACAACAGACGCTTTTTCATCTTGCCTTACTGAAATTCCAAACCTATTGAACAACTTTTAGTTTTCCCCCAACCCTCTAGTCCTTGGTAACCAACATTTTATTTTCTGYTTTTATGAGTTTGATTACTTTAGATACTTCATATAAGCAGAATTGTGCAGTATTTGTCATTTCTTAGGACTGGATTATCTCAAAAAAAATTTTAAAAGGTCTGGTGATGCAGTTTCGTGCCCTAGATTCACCAGTAGCAATTAAAAAAAAAAAAAAGATTTGGAAAGGTCTCAATTACAGTGTGGGTTTGCCTCAAAGTTCACCCAGGGTTGCAAATTACTTTTATCATTTTTAAGCTTAATAACATTCCAAAATAAAATATATTCACATTTAATATTCTATATTATTTTTAAGGCTGAAGAATATTCTTTAATGTCCATCAATCCCTTGATGAACATTTAGATTACTTTCATTTCTTGTTTATTGTAAATAATGTTGAAATGGACATGGGTATGCAAATATCTTTTTAAGTGCCTGTTTTCAATTTTATTGACTTTTTGCCCTGGATTCCTGGATCATATGGTATTGCTGTTTTTAATTTTTGTTGTTGTTTTTTGTAATACTGGGGATTAAACCCAGGGCCTCACATGTGCTAGACAAATGCTCTACCACTCAACTATATCCCCAGACCTTTTTATTTTGGGGACAACATCTCGMTAAATTGCTCAACATCTTGCTAAATTGAACCTCCCAAATAGCTGGGATTAGAGGTGTGTGTCACTACAATTCACAATTCTTAATCTCTCAATCCCTATATTGGAGATTGAACCATTGAGCTACCTCCTCAGAAGAACCCCACTCCTTCCCTCCCCTTCTCTTTTCTTTGCCCCTCTCCCTCTCTGTCCTTTTTTTTTTTTTTCTGAGACAGGGTCTTGCTAACTTGCAATCTTCCCATCTCAGCCTCTCAAGTTACTGATATCACAGGTTTGCGCCATGGTGCCAGGCTATTTTTTTCTTAGTAGCTGCATCATCTCACAATCCCAATTATTAAACTCATTTTTAACATAACTCATTTCATAATGTTTCTACTGACAAATATTAAGCTGATCAGTGAGCAATTTTGTGATTTGTAATGATCATGTCATGGAAACCTCATTAGGTCTGGTCTTCCAACCTATATAGGAAAAGCTCAGTAGATACTCATTTTAAAAAGCAGACTTGTATTGCTTTTTGCCATACTCAATGATTCATAATCTTCTCCAAATGGTCCCATGATTCCATAGAACCAGTTAATGTTTAGAGGTCAGAGGGCTTGAAGACTATTCAGTACAGCTTCATAATTTAATGGTAAATTTATATGATTTATTTTCACTGAAGTTGGGCCAGAGGACTTGAATTTATTAAAGAAATTTGATTTGTTTCCCCTTTCAACCTTCTCTTAGATTTTAGTTCTTTTTAAACTATAGGCGCAACTCTTTCCAGTTGGAAAATGATTGCCCTTTTAGAATATGAAAGCAAAGTAGGGCTTAGGTAGTTGTTTTTCTCAGTGAAATTTATCTTCCAAGGATGCAGTTTTGGGAGGTTAGACACCCAGGCACTTTTTATATCTTTCATACCAGCTTAGGAACTCTTGAAAGAGGTCATTAGAATCACTATCAGCATAATCACCAAACAAATTTGTCAGATTTGACTATTAAAAACTTGAATTTTTCAAAATCAAGCCAACCCTGAAAGGACAAAGATTTGTTACTACTGGGAATATTTACTTACTAAATAATAATGGCAATTATTTATAGAGCTATGTACTAGGTATTTTCCATGCATCATATTACAGCACAGCAGCCTATTGGTATTATACTTATTTCCATTAAATAGATTAGGTTTGAGAGCATGAGTAACGTGTTTATGCAACACTGAAATTTGAACTCCAGTGTGCTAGAAAACAAAAACCAAGCTTTTAACTACTGCAGTGTTACTATATGCAAAGAACTGTGCTGAGTGGAAATTATGGGTCATTCACAAGAACTAGGTAACAAGCTTTTAAACAGCTATATCATCTAGATATAAGGCAAGTATAATACGTAAGAGAAAAATCTAAGTGTCTGAGAAGGTTAAGTACTGTTACTCAAAGATATGTATTATAAGTTCTGAAGCCAACAGGAACAGATGTTTAATAAAAATACAGAGCCAGGTGTGGGTGTTGCACAAATGTAATCCCAATAAATTGAGAGGCTGGAGCAGGTGAATCACAAGTTCAAGTCTGGCCTCAGTAGCTTAGAGAGACCCTGTCTCAAAATAAAGAGTAAAAAGGGATGGGGGTGTAATTCAGTGGTAGAGCCCCCTGGCTTCAATTCCCAGTATGTGAGGTGGGGAGARTTTAAATTAAAGGCTGGTTTCCTGTACCACTTATTAATGAGTAATGTTGGGTAAGTCTCAGTTTCTTCAGCTTAAAATGGAGATTTAAATAACAATATCTCTACTTACCTCACTGGGTCACTGTGACAATCAAATGAATGAGTATATAATGAAAACTTTGGGTGTGCAGAGAATTTGTACAATATGGGTACRCAGTGAATTTGTACAATATTGTAATTATCACCAGAGTATGTCTACTGATGCCCATCATGGGACAGTAAATATATACCAGAAAAGTTCCACACGACTGTTTAATCTTATTATATTAGCTCACTTCATTTTGATGCAATCCAAATATTCTTCCCCAGTGTAACTCATGGTCTAAAGCCATCTTATAAGAATCGATTAATTATGATTAAAATGTTAAAGAAAAGGCAAAGTGACAGTTAAAAAGAAAGTATTCCCCTGCCTCTTAAGGTATCTATCCCCTCCCCCATATTTTACTCTTTTGATTTATTCAAGAAAGACAGCATAAAAGCATCTTATTAGCAATTCTTATCCAGGAAATATGAGCACTTAGGGTCAATTGAAAGGGACCTAAGAAGAGAAAGAGCCCAGAGAGAATGTCATACAATTAAAAAACAAAACAAAACAAAAAACCTACCTTAACAACAAATCAACAAATAGTTAAGGGTATCATTTTGTGTAAATTTGAATGATCATATATTTAAAACATCTTTGCAATTGTTTCATTTTCTTTCTCTAAACATTTTCCCACTTCCATGAACCTTTATTCTAATGCTTAAAAATAGTACAAACTCATCTAAATTATAAGAGAGGTTTCAAAGCAGTACAGCTAAGGATTTTGCTGTTTTACAAGYCTTGAAACTGAAAATGCTAAATAGACAGATCCTTGTTATAACAACTTTGAGGGAAGGTAGTGTTGCCATCCTGGCAGATGTTTTAAGACTGTTCATTTCCTCCCTTCTTCATCAGGAGGATCTGTGGAACATGCTAAAGGCAGTTAGCATGTGGATGCCTTAGTGACAAAAGCTAGATTTCTGTCAGCAGCTCTCATTAAAGCTAGCTTTTAGCCTGTGCCCTCATCATGTGCCACAGATTTAGTTTTGGATTAGCAAATGCTAATCCACATGTAAACGCTCTCTACCGATCCACACACATTAAGCAATCTGATTACACTCTTTTAAGTGTATGTTCCAACTCCTCTTTTTATCCTTAATTAATTTTAGGAGCTGTGAACAAATTCACATCACTTGTGTTTTCCCTAGTCAGCCTAACTTCTGACCAGGTAATCTATCAAAGCCCGGTCTCCCACAGCAATCTTGGAGAATCTGGAAATCCCCTGATCTCTCCTCGACTCTAAGGACAGGGCCTTTTGTGCGCAGAGTTCCTACAAATTAAAGAACTTGACTAACTTGAGGAAGAGATAATAAAACGTCTCTCCTAAAGGTAATTGTTCATTTCAGGCACTCTTTAGAGAGGTTTTTAAGCTAGTGCTGCATCTGATAGGGTCAGGGAGGATAAGAACGACCCTAGAATGTGGGGGCTTATCGCCCGGAGATGCCTCCAGTTGAGCTGACAAATCTCCGAAGTGGGAAATAGATTTCCCTCCACAGGGCCTCGGCGGGTGAGAGAAGGAGGGGGATGGGCAGGGGCCATCAGGGGAGAAGTCTCCGGCCTTTCCACGTCTCTCAACACCATCCCCCCCAGCCCCCGCCTCCTCCGCCCCAATCCTAAACTAGCCGGCGGGAGAGGGGCCCTGGGGGCTGGCTGGGCTGGAGGCTTGTGGCCTTTGTGGCTCTGTCGTCGACGGTGGCGCAGAGGCAGAGGGGGCGGGGGCGCGGGCCGGGACCCTCAGCCGGGGCTTGACCCCCAGGTGCATTGTCCAGCGGGGCCCGCCCCCTCTCCCTGGGGCCGCGACCTGGCCGCTCCCGGCCCCTTCCCGGCGTCTCCCTCCGCCGGCCGCGCCGACCTCCTGGTCCCCGGACCAGGGGCCAGATGTAGAAAGTAGTCCCCAGGCCGGCAGTAGCGGCGCTGTCCACTCCGCCGCCCCCGCCCTCTCCAGCCGCCGCCTCACTCCGCCCCCAGGCCGGACTCTCAGGCCCCCTGCCTCGCGCGAGCGAGTGTCCGCGCGCCAGAGTCGCCACCACAGCGCCTGCCGCGCCACGCCACGCGGGTGCGGGAGCGGGAAACCCAGGCTGTGTGCGTGCAGCCGCGGCGCTGGGAGTGCCCGGAGGCGGGGGCGGCAGGCGGACAGCGGCTGTGGGGCAGCCGGGGAGCATGCCCGTGTAGCCCTGCTGAATGGCGCCTTCAGTACGACCCCTCGCCCGGCCGCGGCCGCCGGGGATGCCGTTCCGCGCGCTCCTGTTCCTGCTGCTCCTCGGCCCCTTTCCAGGTGGGCGCGCTTTCTTCTACGGTTCCGCTCACCCMGACTGTGGGGAGGGAGCAGGAGCGAGTGGGATGGAGAGGGAGGTAACTGGGGGCGTTGGGGGAGAGTAGTGGAGTCCTCCGTGGTGGCGCTGACCACCGGCCCCTGTCCCCTTTCTGCGGCCTGTCCGGAGCCGCGGGCTAAAGGCGCGGGTGACGGCAGAGCCTGCCGGGCGTGGGCATAGCTGTGGGAGCTTCTCCCCGCGCACGTCCTCTGTTGCCKAGCTCCCTCTGCTACAGGCTGCAGGGCCATAGCGGCCGCTGTCCACTCTTGTCCCTTCCTTCTCGCGCCATTGTCCCGGCTCCGGCCGCGTCCCCGCCTCCGCGGCCAGCCGGGACTCCGCGCCGCCCGCCCGCCGGGGCCGCGGCGGCCGCACGTGGCTTTATTTATATTGTTTCCTTAGTGGCAGCCTCGCCGCGCAGGGGGCGCCGCGGTTCCGCGCGGCTTCTGGTGTTTGCAGTGGGGGTTCCCCCGCGTTTTAGGGCTGGGGAAGGGAATAAGGGAACTCAGTGCCCATGTCCACACTCCATTGCCCCCAGTTTTCCGGGTCCGAGTCAAGCCAGGAGATGGGAGGCCGGAATTGCAAAGAGAAAGGTTGAAAGTTGCTTGGCCCCCGAGGGACCGGGAGAAATGTACCCGAAGCTGGGAAGGAAAGTGCCTAAATAGAATTTATTTCCTGAATTTAGATATTTGGGGCAGGACCACAGGTGTGTACGGATTTGAGGGTTCCTCCAACTTCAGGGTTAGTCTTGCACAAATTTGGGTGAACTCCTTTTTCTTTTTTGCTTCKTTGTTGGTTTCCTCAGGGAGAGTAAAAAGTGTAGTGGCTGGGGAGGAAGGCGGAGTGTAGGAGAGAGGTTTTAAGGGGAATGGATTTTTATTTGTTTATTTACAAAGGCTGGAGTTTAGTTTTTTTTCTAGAGGAGTTAATTTCAGTTCGCGTGAGAAAAGGATCAAAGTCAGATGTGGCTCAGAAACACAATGGGCGCCTTCCGGAGTGGTCAGCGCAGYGCGAGGTTGTAAGGGTGACTTAGGTCGCCCTGGGCATACTTTAGGGGAAGTCGGGAGCCCRTAGCATGGGGTTTCTGAGGATCTGCCTTGATCAGAAACAGAGAAATCATTCCTGAGGCTTTGCAATCATGGATTCAAAATGACAAGGAGAAAGATGGAACTCACACCCCAACTCCAGCAAGACTTTGGCCGGCTCTTTGCTCTGAAAGCAGGAGGTAACAAAGTATTAGTGGTCATCTAATGCTTTATCCTAGCTGGGGCCAGGGGCGATGTGTATGCTTAGGATAAAGCATTTCCTCTGCTCTGATAAAAATGTGTATTGGTTGATTAAGCAATCTCCTATCCCTATTAGACAGTAAGGACCAATTAGTCACGCATTTTTTCCAACAGTTGGTAGTTCTAAAAAAGTGAAATAAAAGTTTCCTAATCCGATCACCCACTGAGTACAAGCAGCAAGAGTTACCAACTTTTCAAAGTCTATTGTTTGTCCTTTAAATACCTAGCTGGCTCTGCAGAAATTAAGTAAATGGATTTCTTTCAAGAAGAGGAGACAATCCCTGCTGTAAAAGGGCAGATAGAAAAATGCAAACTTGTAATTTGTCACAAAAGATAAACGCTCCTCCCAAAGGAGTAGGTGCCAAGGGTTCCCAAAACACTTCAAGGGACAAGGAAATAAACTTGCTTGTTCACAGAGTTGGAGTTTTGCTAATGATTTCTTGTAAAATTAGACTTTTACGACTTACTCTGTTCAAGATCTTTTTGACAAGCTTGTAAAAGCAGCAAACAGCTTGTGCTCATGAGTTTTCCTGATGATTTTGAAACTCTAGCAAGGAACTTGAGAACAGAATTCTTATAAGGCATAGAAGTTATTGGAATCTTCCTTTGTACTTTTAGTGTAAATGTTGCAGGGTGATTTCTCTGATTTGTTGAAAGATTTGCTAAAACTTAGGTTGGTTTATTAAAGTGCTTGTAAGTTAAATAATATGGTTAGTTAAACTTTGTCTTATACCCTGAATATGTGTTTTACATTTGCATGTTAAATGAATTTATACCTATAATTCTGGATATACCTTTCTCCCTTTTTCCTTATAGGAGTGTGGTGCATTAGCGAACTGTTTTTTATAAAAGAACCACAGGATGTAACTGTCACAAGAAAGGACCCAGTCATTTTAGATTGCCAGGCTCATGGAGAAGTTCCTATTAAGGTCACATGGTTGAAAAATGGAGCAAAAGTATCTGAAAATAAACGGATCCAGGTTCTTTCTAACGGCTCTTTATACATCAGTGAGGTGGAAGGCAGGAGAGGAGAGCAGTCCGATGAAGGATTTTATCAGTGCTTGGCAATGAACAAATATGGAGCCATTCTTAGTCAAAAAGCTCATCTTACCTTATCAAGTAAGTGTTTAAGATTTTGGTTGTTGACATTTTTTGCTACTACATTTTGATTTCTTGATTGATGAATATAATACTAAAAGTCATACATGAAGAAATTGGAAATAAAGGCAAAAATGCAAAAAAATACATAAATTTGAAAACAGAAGTCATTAGGTTTAGAACACAAGTGATATAAAACCTGATAGAGGTGACTTTATATAAATTTCAAATRTTCGCCCTGTAAGAATTGGATGTGTAAGTTTGGCCAACATAATAAAAGTTTGTTCTAAAATTTCATCTTTTAGAAATTAGCAATTAAATAAAAACAATCACAAGTAAACCTGCTTTGTAGATGGCCCTTGAGTGCTAAATCTTTCTTATAGCTCAACCTTCTATTTCTCTGACTGCTTTTTAGATCACCCATGTTGCTTTTTAATTGTAAGGCAGGGCATTGGTCAGTAACTCTCAAGCCTTTGAAGTATGCCTGTTTTCCTGCTGGGAGGGAAAGAGATTAAGGCCATTTCCATATTATGCCTAATGGACTTAAACCAGATCTGCTTATTTTTTCCCCCAGTTGTCATAAAGTGTGCTGTCTAATGATTTCCTTTGTATTAACCCCATCAGAGCAGCCATTTGTCCAAATGATCCATTGCTTAGTGGTTGACCTGGTAACTTGAGTGTAATGATTGGCTCAGGACAGGTAGGGAACTCTGCTTCCACTGAGGTTGCTACCTCTTCAGGTCATCAAACACTATTTCAATATTGGAAAACAAAATTGTATCTTAAAAATAGGATTACAGGTATTCTAGTTATGTGATTTTGTTAATCAACAAAAGATGAATTTTGTACTGTACCTATAAATTGATTGTTTATAAAATGAACAACAGGTAAAGAGGGTATTCTTGAGATAAGGTGCGATCTTTTGGCAATAGTCTTTTCAAGGTCTTTATAATTGAAACTTAGGCTAGTGGCAGGACTTTCCAAGATAAATTTAATTCTAGTAACTCATGGCCATAATTATGCTATCCTCATGTTAGTAATTATTAATTTATTTTGTACAATSATTGTAGAAAATACTTTACAAAAAATGATTTTTATGTTGAAAAATGGCAGAAAATTAGAAGTTTCTAAATCTGGCCCCACCCCACTCCTGCCAAAGAAGAACATAAACCTGAGAGGATTTCTGATATACTTACCTTCTTTCTGGTCTTTTTTTTTTTAATTACTGGAATTATCCATTATTTTTATATATGGAATTATCCATTAAAATAATAATGAAAAACATTATTTTCATTGATTAATGGTTTTTCTGTGCAGTACTATTCACAAGATAGTGCTTTTATCAGTTCATTTAAATTTTCTCTAATGTAAAATTATTCTATAGGATTCTGGTTTTTCCACCTGAAAAGGTTTGTGGAATCTTGGGTTTTCATACTCAGGAACTGTAACTTGTATTACCTTTGGGGGAAGAGKTTGGAAGTTGAGGGGGTGGGCAATGGCAGGAAAAGATGAAGCATTTGTCACCATCATACTTTTGTAGGACCTCATGAGAAGCCTGACCGAATCCTAGGGCTCCCAGGAACACCTTTGAATGCACACAGAGCTGTCTGATTTCATAAACAAAGCCTGAAAGGTGTATGATGGATGTAACAAATATACGTTAGTACTAGAGGCTGGAGATATACCTCTGTGGTAGAGCATGTGCTTAGCATACATAAGGCACTGACTTCAAGACTCAGCACACACACACAAAAAAAAGTACTAGCTTTTTAAATCTTTAGATTTTTGTATCTTTATAAAATTATCACTAATAATAAGTAATTAGAGGTAAATCATTTTGAAGGGTATTATGGTAAAGGTCACTTCATATTATAAGGACCAAAAACTTTTCCAATGAAACTACTATAACATTGCTTTGCTGTATTACAGTTTCCAACTGTAATCAGTTAGGGACCATGTTCTTCAGGTGCACATATTTTATTTAACCTTGAAGAGGTGTTTCGCTAGGAAAATTCAGTCAGTATTATGAATTTAAAATACAAAATGTATAGTGGATTTAGATTTTTCTTTAGAAATATGAAATTTCTTAGAGATCCTGAATTATCAGTTAGTTTTGATTTCTAAAGATGTTATCTGGAGTAAACAGAAAGAGAATAGGCATTAAGTGGACATTCTGTTTTTGTTTTTACTTTTGAAGCTGGTTCTCCCAGTCATTGATAACAGTAGGGTACATGTATATGCTTTTTATTTGCTTAGGGATTTTGTAAGCCAGCATATCTTTTGGTTCAGAAATGTAATGGTACAGTACCTGAAATTTAAAGCTGTAATTTGTGCAAGTTTTAGATTTTTAACACACAGGCAATCCAATCTTGGTTTCTAAACTTAGGAACTAGAAGCTGAAAGTTGCACTCTAGGCAAGAATTCCATTATTCATGTGTAAATTAGGAATTCACAGGGTTAAAAGGTTAGAAACTGGCCAGGATGAGGTTTACCCTTGTGATAAAGAGCAGATGACCCTCATTCATTGGCCAAAGCTTTCATGTAGCTCTTCTGCAAAGTTAGTTATTGCCATGAATTGTTCTTGAGGAATGCAGAAATTCAAATGTGAACAGGCCTTTCCTTAAGTGTCTCTRTGGAGCCTTATCTCCCAAGCACATCAGAGCAGGGCTGCAGGGACAAGGTTCTTCCCCAAAGGCCTGGAGGCTTTGCTTTCCTGTTGTTCATCCAAGCACAAAAGAATTCATCTAACTTAGTTTTGCCAAGGCATCCTATTTTTAAAGGAAAATATAGGGTTAAAGTAATATTTAGCTTTTTTTTAAAGGTAATCTTTTTAATTGATATCCATTTTAGCTTTTTTTTTTATGTAATTAGAAGGGAGTAATGTGGGAGACGCTTTTCCAGTTGTGTATAAGAGTAAGAACAGAAAATTAAAACATTCCTATAGATTTGAATTTTTTAATTTAGCAAATCAAATTTTCACTTGTGTGTGTTGTCTTCATTATATAAATAATTTAAATATTTTAGGAATAAAAATGAGGGAATTAATGTTTCTTCCATTCTTTAATGTTGAAATAAGATAAATTCCATAGAAAAGCATTAGTGTGGTAAAACAGTCTCATATTTCAACAAGTTTAAATTAAGATAAGAGACATTTGAGAGAAGTAAAGGGAGGAGGAGGGTTGTGTTCTGTGATGTGTAAAAGACTGGTTGTAAGCTAGTGATTGAACAGGAAGCTGGTTGTTTATTTCCTTTCCATAAAAGGTGGAAATTGAAGTCCTAGGAAGAGGGAAAGGTAACATAAAGTTGGCCTGTATTTCCTAGGTTTTTCATGACTGTTCACTTGGGCATAAAATAATACTTGATGTGAGCATTTATAGCTTGAAGAGCATAAAAATCATTGTAACTATTTTTTTCATTCAAAATTTTGAGATTAATTCTGGCATCAGTAAAGTTGCTAAAGAGTGCATTTCAATAAGTTTAAGTAGCAAAAGTCATTTCCTTTAGGATATAGGTTGGTTTTCATGAATAAAATGTWTATCATGTAGGTTTAAATTAAGATGAAATTTAAGGTGTTTTTGTGGGATTAGTGAACAACTGTCCTGTGGGTATGGTTTTCTGTCTTGCAGAGTAATTTATAAATTATAGTCCAGGGTGGATGCAGCTTAGTGGTAAAGCTCTTAAATGTCATGTGTGAGGCCCTGGGTTATATCATCAGCACTGAAAAAAAAAAAAAAGTCCAATCTTGGTTTTTAAATGTGAAGTTAAATATATTAAAACATTTAAAAAATTATGTTTTTTAAAAAGAGGGTAAATGGTGTATTGAAAAGGAAATCATAGGAAATATGAGATGATAGCTCAGGTTTTATTAATGATTATAGACCCAAAAAAGCAAAATTTTGCTATAATGTCACTATTTTGACATTTGTAGATGTTGTAAGGACAGTCTTTTACCTGTGTACATGCTTCTCCAAGTCAAGCTGTTAGCAGTTACCTGACCTAATTCAGCAGTGCTAATACATAAGCTAAAGTTGTTTGATTTTGGAAAATAAGACAGAATTCRGAGACCATTCTGCTAACACTATATATAAAGTCCTTTTGATGCTTTCTGGTAAAGAAAAATCGCTTAAAAAAAGAGAGGTGACATATTTAAAAAGTGTATGTTTTGACTTAAAAACGACCATCTTGCATAAGTGAAATCAAGAAATTCAAGTTGTATTTATAGTTCTACAAACTTACTTACTATGACACTGTCTGCCTTATTATCTCTGGGTAATGGAACCAGTTTTTCCCACTTTTTTCTTGATTTGTGAGGATTATTTCTCATTTTCAGAAACCTGTTATACTATCTAAATATATATTGAACAAATATATATTATATAATGTAACATATATAGGTGTGTGCGTGCGTGTGTGTGTGTGTGTGTGTGTGTGTGTGTATGTGTGTGTGTGTACACATAATGCAAAGCAGGATCCAGTAAGGGATGGAATCACATTTTTCTTTGAGTATTTAATTTTTTTTTTTTTTGATTCTGATTTTTAATGGAACTTTGAAAGGTACTTGGTATGCCCCCTTCTGTCCACTATCTCTGGTAATTCTAAAGAAAGGGTCTCACTCTTAGGAGTTGTTTGCACAGGGATTTGTTGTCATTTGCTCCCACATTTAACAGCTGGGCCTATTGATGAAGTCCAGAGCAATTTAAAAGAATAGCAAAAAACAAATCTTTTAAGCAGGGCTTTAGGTTAAAAGAGTATTTCAGTTAATAAATCAAATGCATTTGAGATTACTTTTTTTGAAAACCATGATTCTTTTTTTTTACTTCATATTTTAGAAGTGGTCTTTATCTCTCATAAACAGGTTGCTTTGTTAGTTCATTACTTCCAGCTGATAACRACTAATTATATGAAAACTGAGGTTGAGTCAAGTGTTTTGTTGAAGATCCTACTTGAATTTTAGAAATAACTTTGTTCTAAAAGAAATCCTAAAAACTGCCCCCAAACTAAATTTTCAGTGTTAGTCAAGT